GGGCTTCATACTGCCTGCGGTACGACTTCTCATGGCGGGAAGCTAATAAAAGAAAGATAAACGGTACGAGCACTCTAAAGGCTGGAGGCTGCTTACGCTAGGGAGCCTTCATGTGCGCTCATGAAGGCAACCTAGCTTACACGAGGTCCTCAAGCCGACGCCGTAGGCATTTATTTGTATACAATGCCGTTTCAACTTAGAGTGGCGGGACATATTTTAGGAAAGGCGCCCGCTACCCCTTGTCTCCCCTTGGCGCCGTCTTTACTTTTCGAGTTAAACGCGGCTCCTGTGGATTGACGGCAGAGCTTTCGCCCGGCTTTGCAGGAGCGAATATGTGTGTGTCTAATGGAACAGAGGCGGGGCTTGCTGGTTTCCGACTGCGGCTTCGAATTCCCTACCTAAGGGACTTGGGAAAAACGAGCCTTTCAAAGATCCGACTATACATAAATTAAATAGAGAGTGCCTGTGCCCCTTCGAGTGAACACCGACTCCCAAACATCCATGCTGCAGTCGTGATCGGCCTTTAGCCCAGTTGAGATTCGCCGACCGGACAACCGCTCTGCCCCATCATATCTCTGCACCTGTCCTCTCGACCCTGACGAATGAGCTAACTAACCAGAAACAAGTGTTCTTTTCACACAGAAAATATCCAGACGAATTGCAATTGAATATAATTTGGAAGGATCCATTGCTGGTTTAAGGTATTATCAAAGTTTAAAAGTTATAGTTGCAGAACTGCAACATGCTTTCATAAATATTCAACAATTATTCTCTTTCGTTCTCTCGAGTTGCATCCAGAACACGTGAAAACACGAGTTTGGGTTGGCAATGCCGCATGTGCTGCGCTCTAGACATTCCAAATATACGGCGAACAACCGACGAACTTGCCTGACAGCTTTTGTTTCGCTCGCTGCGTCAACAGTGTTTTGACGCCGCGAGCAACGTCGAAGCCGCCGGGCCATTTTTGTCGCTTGTTTGCAACGTACTCGCTCCATTGATTTAAGCCGTTCTTCCCGTTGCCGCAGCAGTTAAGCACTAGCTCCAACCAGAATGTCTGCCAAGGCAATGTCTTTAAGCTTCCCTAAATCGACTGCTCACGTAGTGTCGGTCTGAAACCCAAGTTCCAGAAAGGATAGTGCCACCACAATTTTCGAGATACTTGCCTCTAGCGTGGTCACCCGAAAAGTTTTAATTCAAAGAGTTCATCCCCGACAGGTAAACCGATACAAAAGCTCTCAAGATCTATATTATGTTAACAGAGTTTAGTAAAAACGATCTCTACAAAAAATATAAACACTCCCTCCCCGCCGTTTTACATCGAGGAACCGCCCCCCCTAAAATGGAGGTCTGGATCCGCCCCTGGTCGTTTGCATGGGCACCGACAGGACCTTCTTTCTAACATTTGTCACACATTCAGTTTTAATATCCAGCCACTAAACTACCAGTATATACCATGGAAAAGTTCAAAATATTTTCACAATTTGGACACTCAAAAAAACTTCAAATTAATTAATCAGATAGCATGAATGATGTGAAATGACAGAAATCTGATATTCGTCCACCCGAGTAAGTTACCAAGCTTTCACCTAATTACGAAAAATAAAGGCAATGTCACTGATGGGTCCGGCTACCAGAGGGCCAATACTTCTGAGGACTTTCCTGCAAGCTTGGATGCAAGCAAGTCAGTCGTTCAGCTCGATCACTAGGTAGATAGACTTACATACCTATCTCAACAAGCTGAAAGCCAACCTGAAGGTTCCTGCTTCATGGCATTGCCATGCACTTTGTTATTTCTCAGAATTGATCATCTATAGCATGCAAGCTGCCTGCCTCAAATGTTTCAGCTATTGGCTCCATTCAACCACCTGTTCCGGAAAAATGTGAAATAGAGGTGTGTATTAGAGGAAGACGACGGCTTTAACAAGGCAAAGCAGACACTGCTGCGTCAGGCTCCTGGTGTATCGCAACCACACTGAGGAACTGATCCTGAATGTGCCACCTCCAGAGGCAGTTGGACCAGTGTCGTCACACAACATCCACGGAGTCAAAAGGCCCATAGGAGGTTAACCTTCTTCCAAGAATTCCATGACACACGCATGGGTATCAACGCAATGAAGTAAGGCAATGGTTGATGCCGTACAACCTTGAACAATATGCCAACAGGCTGCATTAATGCCACCAGAAGCAGAGCCACAAGCTTGGCCAGAACCCACGGCTCCATGGACAAGAATTTACATGGACTGCACTGCACCTATCGAAGGTAAAACGGTGCTAATTGTGGTAAACAGTTACCAAGATTGAAAGAAACCACTGGCATCAGCAGCCAGCCAACTCCACTGCAACAGTCGAATATCTGAGGAACACGGTCGCCTGGTTAGGACTTCCTGTTTGCTTGGTGTCCAATAATGGAACACCATTCCCCGGCACGCTGTTTACCGACTTCATTACTCAGAATGGAATTGGCCACCTAAGGACTGCACCTAACTATCCACAGTCAAACAGACTTCCCGAGAGAGCTGTCAGAACGATCAAGGACAGTCTAAAGAAACTCTTGGGTGGTTCTTTGGCCGCATACTTGCCAAGATGGCTCCTTGTGTACCGTCGCACACCGCCTACCACAGGAGGACAATCTCTAACAGAGCTCGTGTTCAACTTTTGTCCCAGAGTTTGCTGCATGGACCTCATCACTGAGACCCAGGAGCCAAAGGTAGACCTGGAAAGACCTAGCAACCTCAAAGAAAGCAGCCCTGTTTTTGAAAGAAACATGGGAGCTGTAGAACAATGGGGACCAAGATCATCTTCCAGGTTGTCAAAAACTGCATGACTTTGGTAAAATCCACCATGGCACAATGAAGCACCACCTGGGCCAGTTTTGCCCCAGACGCTTTAACTCATTTTTAGTCAGATGATGAAATTACCACTGGGCACTAACTTGATTGGCAGTTAACAAGTGAAAAAACCAGGCTATGGACCAGGAACTGAGCAGGCATTTTAAGCAGTGCAAGGATGCCCCACTCAGGCACGGGGGACACCAACCAAGATGAACCTTTAGCTTGTGCGGCAAAGTGTTGGATCAGGCCGCCACCACCGGGGGTCAGTGTTTCTGGGGGCTTCCCTGTGCAACGGCCATGGGCTTTCTCTCTTTTCCCACACTTTCCAGTGACCATGTAACAAACATGTATGACACGGCCATGTCAATTATTCCCTAATAAACAAATAGGTATGATCCTTGCACTCCATGGATGAAGCAGCCACCAACAATTTCAACATTGGTCTGTATGGAGTCAAAAAACAAAGAAATAAAGGAACTTCTGACACACAACTATTCTTGATGTATGCACACAATAGACTACTTCCATAAAGCCCTGCATGCAACACGGCGCGCGTTGCACTCTGGGAACTAGTTGGCCAGGGAGGAGAGTGGCATGGTTTTGGTTTCGATCGACACGTCGACCAGAGATTACACACAGAGCGTGGACTATAAACGGCCATTATCTCATGTTTTCTGGTCCCGAGAGCGTCATTTGTTGTCTATAAACTAACCTAAATGGCCAGACCTCGAAGCTTTAGCACAAGCCCGAGACGTATATAGCTTCTCTTAACACATGCTTGTTCTATTTTTGTACTTGAGCCTTTTTGTTAGCGTTTCGAGGTATCTGGACGAGCCAGTGCTGGGAATCTCGACGCTGCGAAGCTCGGGGATCTTGCTTATGTACGAGTCAACAGGCTGTAGCAACCAATAAGTATGCATACATTGAGCTCGCGCCTTTACATTATATGTTGTTGATCAGGAAGTTTGTTCGTTTCGTGCGTCCATAGAAGAAATATTACTTTTTGCAATTACTGTTTTCTTAATACGCCTGTGTACGCGAAGTAAAACTCGGAGGTGCCATTGAAAAGCTCAATTATAACACACTTCTTATCTCTTATCTGTACTGACCCGCAGCGCTGCACGAAGCGAAGTCCCCACCCACTTGCATTTTACTAATATTCAACATTGCGTATGCACGTAAAGTTATCCTGCAATCGTATAGGCACATTCGCGCATACAAACCGTTTTAAGAAAGCCAAAGTCGAACACTTGTGTGAAAAATGTTGCACCATTCGCCAGAAGTACGCCGGACGGGTATGAACCCCTATGCGGTGCGTCAAACGTACGAAATTATGCAAAGTGCATTTGACGGTTGCCAATGGCCATAATATTTGTCATGTGTTAGCTTTCTTCCTGCCTGAGTATGCCGCGATAATTTCGGACACACCGTTCAGGCACAGATCTTGGGCGTCAGTAAAAGCTCGTCCAAAAAGGCTTAGCGAGGAGTAGGGGACGCTTGTTAGGGCCTCCGTCATAGCTAGCCCATCTCTGCGTTTGCGAAAATTTAATCTTCTATCAGCATAAAATTTGAGTGGGATATATGATGACACGAGGAAGACATCATAGTAACTTTGGTGCAGTAGTGATGTCAAATTTATTGTGTTTCCTTAAAAGTTTACGCGTCAACGCTGGGCTCAACTTTGATACTCCTGTGAGAATGCGGCTTGCTTTTTGCCCAATGAAGCAACAAGAAGCGGACGTTTCGCAAACAAAATAGGTGAAAGGCTCCAGGTGAACAAATTTCAGTTCTACTTCACTGGTACTAGACGGGATTATTGAAATTGAACTCAAAGATGCACTCGTTAAGGTGACTAAGCCACGTCTCACTACGTTTGCATACGCACTCAAATATCCGGTGTTTCGGGAACCAAAAAAAGTGCCCCGGCCTTCGTTTTGTATCGCTCGAGAAGGAGTATATTGTACATTCATAAAAAAGTCAGATAATCGAAAACGCAAGCAGTGCGTTCGGTCGCGGCGTGATAGCATGAGATGAATCTGCTCAGTCAAAACCGAAACTGAGTGGCCAACTAGTTCCCAGAATGCACTGCATGGTATTTCGCCGCAATGGGGCGCGTCGGTTTTGCAAGAAGTCCATTGGCCAGCAGTCTCCTTGCAACATCCTGGACACAGCAACAAAACCCAGCCCTTGCACCTGTTACACTGAGTACGAGCGTCCGACAAAGACTAACTCACGGAAAGGAAATGGCGGCAGTTAGGTCTACTGCAAACGAACTAACACACAGATACCTGACAATAATTAAGTCTGCAACTACAATGAAATAAAATGAGACAGACCCAAAAGCTGCAACCGATGACCATGGAGGGGACATGGGTCTCGTGCCTCTGCAAGAAAAAACACAGAAACTGCAAAATTAAAATAGGCAAGTGGATAAACCAAAAGGGTCGGAGGCAAAGCATAGGCTCCCAGAAGCGTAAAGGTGCTGCACGGTGAAGGCTCACATAGAAAGCTCATGAAGTAAAGGGATGGCTTGCAAATGTCTTAAGCAAGTGGAGAAGTGAAAAACTTGAGGATACAGAGGGAGTGCATATTTCGAGGTGTGCGAATGACACGAGGAAAGTGAACAGAAGAATGACAGGGGAAAAGACAAGCTAACATGGGCAGGAAGTCTCTGCATATCTTTCATGCAAGACACCAGGAAGGAAAGTGTAGGCTACAAACATCCAAATGAAGCAAAAAGGGATGAGTGAAACATAAGCAGTGCACAGCACAAGAAGGAGGACAAGAAAAAAAAACATGATACAGAAGAGCAAGTTTGCATGACAGCAAAAGCTTCACATAGGCCTACACGCAGAGCAGAAGAAATATTGCTCCCCACAAAGAACCGTAGCAAGCGTAAAAAAATTCAGGGGCTTCATGCAGCCATACGCACAGAGCACAATAAAAAAAAAAGCTTCCCACAAACATCTGAAGCAAGCGTAAAAGTAAAAGAATATTCTGGGACTTCACTCAGGCTTACATGCAGAGCATAAGAAAAAGCAAGCTTCCCACAAAGAGCTGAAGAAAGTGTGAAAAAAATTTAGATGCTTCACGCAAACTTACACGCAGAGCACAAGAAAAAGAAAGGATTCCCACAAACATCTGAAGCAAGCATGAAAAAAATCCAGAGGCTTCATGTAGGCTTGCACGTAGAGCATAAGAAAAAGAGCTTCCCATAAACATCTCTAGTAAGCGTAAAACAAATTCAGAGGCCTCACACAGGTTTCCAGGCAAAGCCTAAGAAAAAAAGCGTTCCACAAAGACCCATAGCAAGCGTAAAAAAAAATTCAGAGGCCTCAGGCAGAGAACAAGAAAATGGGCTTCTCACAGACCCGTAGCAAGCATAAAAAAATTACAGATGCTTACAAGCACAGCACAAGAATCTTCCCACAAACGTGTAGCAAGCATAAAAAAAAAATGCAGAGGCTTCACGTAGGCTTACATGGAGATTACAAGAAAAAGGGCCTCGCACAAACAACCGTTACAAGAGTAAAAAAAAATCAGAAGTGCCTCGGTAAACAAGGAACGCAAAAAATGAAAGCTGCCCTTAACACAAAGAAGAAAGCAAAGTAAAAAAAAATGAGAACGGGACAACAGTTTCATCAACTAAGGCAATCTAAAACACTAATTAGTTCTCCGAGGTCCTGCCATCGACTGCCGAAGTCCCTGCGTTCAGCTGCCCCAGCCGCCAACTCGCGACTTTTTTCCCGCAGGAACAGTTGCAGCCGTGCATGGCAGAATCGCCTGATGAGCTTCATTTTGATTTCATGGCAGTCGGGCAGCTGAACACATTGGCTCTCTGCAGCCATCCTCGCCGATAGGCCGTCCAGGATGCCCCGTGCATGCATCAAATCCGGAATGAGGCTGCGAAAGACACTTTCACAAATTGTGAAGACGGCAGCTTCAGAGGGGCAGGTCAGAGCGTCAGGGACATAACTCTTTAGCCTGAGGAGGCTATTTGCAGGTGCAATGGGGACTTGAACAGCTGCAGCACACGTGTCACATGCAGCATTATTTTTTACAACTTTTTGTACCACATACCCGCGTAATAGTCAAAGCTATCCTCCTCAGGTTGTGACGTGGTGAGTTCTACCTCCTCAAGAAAAATGTCGGTGGGCACAGCAGGTTGTACATCCAAGTCTGCGAGGTCAGCCAGGTAAAAGGAGGCATCGTCCAGTTCGTAGGACCCTGCCTTGGACGCCCTTGAGGTACTGTGAGAGCGTGATGATTTTCAAGGTCATCTTAAACTCCAAGAAGTTGGGATAGGGTTGCCCTGTCGCACTACCGAAAACAAGTTTTCATGGCAGTCCTGCGTGAATCTGGATGTGAGCACAAATGAAAAAGAATGTCTCTCAATGAGACTTTGCTGCAGGTCCAGAATGGACTTGGTAGAGAGGATTACCCCCGCCTGCACTGGCTTGAACGCCCCCTTGCCAATAGTGAGGCGGAGTAAAAGATCCTTAAATTTGACCAGAAAGTCAAGGGTGTTCTTGTAGCAGGCCTCATTTTGCCTGCTGATCGCAAGGACTGGGTGCCTGCTGCTCATAAGATCAAACCATTTGTTGACCTGTTCCAAGAACCAAGCCGTGGTGAGGAAATTGGTGCTCCAGCCATGATTCTCCACCAGGAAGTGCAGGGCAGTGGCTGTGGAGTGACTGAGGACCCGTAGGGCAGTGCTCACCTACAAACACAGAACTGCTTTAGATTATCAAGATTATAAACTCGACTGAAGGAATCAATGATTTGAAACTTCCCCCTCAGTCAAGAAAAGAACAGCATGGGCACTAAACGAAGAAAAGGCTGCTAACTTCCATTATTGTTGTCCATACGAATGGTTTTTGCTGGTTTTTTACGAGTTTTTGCCACTCTCTTAAAGTTGGCAGTTCCACTTCATGAGCAAAGGTGATGAATGCCAGCACTGAAGTAAAGTACACTCCATGGTTACTTTGGTAGCTGTGCGTTGCTAAAAGTGTCACCGACTCCGATTTGTGAACCACTGACTGATTTTGTTGAAAACACTTTAAGGGAAGCTAAAGAGGTTCTCAAAAACAAAAGGAGTTAGAGGTAAATTCTTCCGTATTTGTATCCTGCAAATTTGAATATGCACTATTTGCTCAAGAAGTATCACCCAACGCAAAGAAATATTTAAAAAATTCACTCGGCATGATGTCACGTCAAGAACTTTCACCTGGCCACCGAAGCTCAAGCACCATCTCTCGTGCAGTGTTCCGGCACATGTGACCAGCCTTGCCCAATGCAGCGCTTTTTTATTCTTGTGAAATGGTGCGTCATCTGCTACAGACGCCTAGTTCCCGCTACAATCTTTCACGCCTGACCAACATCCGCTAAATCTTTTATGAAAGTTTATAGGTGTACTAAACTTGCGTCAAAACAAACAGGCGAGTGAAAATCGTGAGCATGAGGTGAATCGCACACAATTTGTCGACCACTGAAATAAGCTTGCAATAGCTGCAGAGATTCCGAGGATCCTTGTTGCGACGCTGCTGTCTCTCAGAAATTTCCTCCTAGCTTCTTACACCTCGGGAGGGCGGGGCTTCAGCGCTATGGTCAAAATGCTTTGATGGCTACTCCGGGCCTCAAATTGACAAATAATTTTAATATTCGTGATACTGGAGGCCATATGAAGATGATGCAAGTGTTTTTTAAAGGTACAAAACCGCTTTAGTTTCCCCTTAAGCAGGCACGTGCGAATAACGAATTTTATGTTTCAAGCGAATAAGAAGCTAATAGTGACTTGGGTCGAATAATTTCGAATCGCACATTGAATACTTGCTGTGCCTTTCTGATACTGCCATTGCGCTCAGCTTCCGCCATCTTGACAGTGTTGATGTCAAGATGGCGGAAGGTAGCTTAGCTTAATGGAAGCTAACCTAAGTTAGCTTCCAGTCGTGTGTAACTAGCTTAGCTAGCTACAAACAAGCTAAGCTACATGCTAACTTAGCTTAGCACTGTTACCTTAGTACACATTTTTCAAAACATTATAGTATTTGAGTGATGGATGAGTGTGAACGAGTATGAATAAAAAGTCATTTTAGATATGATATAAAGACTATCATACCTAAAACACCTAATATCAAGGGGCACACAGTAATCCGCTGAAATGAGGTTAGACAAGAGTAATTTTGAGTATGTTTTGTTCACGTTCTCAAGGATGTGCGTAAATTCTGCAGTTGTTAATCGAAGCAACAAATGAAGCTTGTCATTTAGTTCTCCTTGTCAACAGCATTTTTCCTGTAGAGATAGCTTTCTAGTGCACAAACTCAGCATGTGAGCAATGATTATACTTTGTAAAGGAAAATTTAGCTAGTTTCATTTAGGTTATTCTCAAGTATCTGCCTACCCGCTGCCAAGGCTCAGTTAATTCTGATCTAAATTACTGAATGACTCTCGTTTCAAATAAATCAAGGCCTACATGGAGATGGTAAGTAGATGAGAGATTTGTCAGTCCTCTTGCTATACCCAAATATTCGTTTTAAATCTTAGACTAAAGAAATGATGAGCAATGATGCACACTGCTTGAAGGGACCTCAATTGTAGAGTAACACATATTCATGGTAAAAGCCAGTTTTTTTTTGTTTTTTTTGGCCTTGAGGTAAGCACTCATATTGACCAGGAACATGAACAATCATTACGCTACATTACAATGTTTTCCTGAATTCGTCGCACACGCGCGTGACCTCTTCTTCTCTGGAGGTGTGCCTTCCACTCAATGCACAATCGCAGTGCCTGCGAAATACGCACGATCACGGTGTTTTCTCTGTAAGTGTCGCTTCCGCACAGCACACCGGTGCTCGTTAAGAAGCGCACTCAACTGCGCTAACTCGCTGCAATCGCAACTTTGCCAGCACTTAGAACCTGTGCACATCACCCAACGAACGGCACGCGGCCAACTCATCGCGAGTCCCAAGGGCAACTGATAAGAGCGCTAGAGCGATCTCGACATCACAGGACACAGGACACACACGATTGGTAGGTGAGATGATGACGTTTTATTCTAGTAGGGCCGCGCCAATCACGGGGTGCAGATTAGACCTACCTTCCACTACATTAATGGGACGCTTAGTACCTGGGAATGGTGACTAGAATGACGTCACGTGAGAACTGTGTATAGCCATAAGCTGGGGATGGCAACATGTGCAGCATGTGCTGAGCTGTAAACAATGTTTAATTTTGGCCATTCGTGTGCAGAGATTAGTCATGAGCTGCCCAAATGTTTGCCGAGGCACTTATTGTCACGAACCCAAGTCAAGTGTTCATGCAGTGCTCGCATGGAATCCATAAGCCTCATTCGACCATCATCACCACAGGGTGCTCTCCTAGACACCGTCAGCATAATTACCTCCATGGTCGCATCAGCAAGGTTACAAAAATTGGGAGTGAAGGAAACACTCCCCCTCTAAACTTGAATTCACATCTCGACGCGTGCAAGATACTGAGGTCAAACTAGTGCTGTATGCCTGCGATGAGAGAATCATTCCAACACAGTATCAATAATCTACCCCTTCATACCACACTGCAACTAAGTGAAAAAGGAACCATGACACCAACTTATCATTTAAAAATAAATTGTGTAAAATACAAAAACACTACAGTTACTAACAAGGATATTATATCTGCAAATAATCAACAGGGAGCTTTGAAGCATTTGAGTAGCCTGACAACAAACTTGCCTTCAAGCCGCCGCCCCAGAGTTCTAGACGACGGCAATGGGAAGCTCCCCTCCAGTAGCAAGTCGTAGCCCAAGCTGCCACATGCAGATCGCATCTGCAGCGACTTCTTCACCGTCTCATTAGACCACTTGGACCCCCTGTTGCTGGATCTCGATAGAGCTGCCAGTTGGTCCGCAGTGAAGAACTTGTGCAAGTGAGACCGGAATGTCGCTTCCCTTGTCTTTTGTAAGGCAGCCTGCCTCACCAAGCGATGATTCTCGTTCTCCAGTTGCTTGATCTTCCGGCTCATCTGAAGAAAGACATCTTCAGTGAGCCTAGGTGAAACGGGTGATGGAGAAAGAGGCTGTAGGGTTCGCTCAGAGGTCTTGGCCGCTGGTTGCCACAAACACGGTACAAGAATTGGGTGTTGCCCACCTCATGAGATCATTCCAAGCAGTGCAAGAACCATGACACATACCCAGTTGGTGGAGGCCGCCGACACCAAGGTGCCGAGGGCAGCTGCGCTGGCTTGGCCGCGCTGGTTGTCACTGGTCACCTGCGGCGAAAAGTGCGGTGGTATTGCTACACGGGGGTATGCAGGACCCTGGAAGATGCTTACGAAGCACGCCCCGCTGGTGGTGGGGAGCGGCTGCGTCAGCAGGCCGCCCTGCAGGGCCGCTGCGGAGGTCCTGGCTGCTGGTTGCTGCAAACACGGTATGAGAATTGGGTGATTCCCACCTCACAAGATCACTCCAAGCCGTGCAAGAACCCCATACCCAGCTGGTGGAGTCTGCCGACACCAAGGTGCCGCGGGCAGCTGAGCTGGCCTGGCCGCGCTGGTTGTCACTGGTCACCTGCGGCGAAGAGCGTGGTGGTATTGCTACACGGGGGTACGCAGGACCCTGGAAGATGCTTACGAAGCACGCCCCGCTGGTGGTGGGGAGCGGCTGCGTCAGCAGGCCGCCCTGCAGGGCCGCTCCAGAGGTCCTGGCTGCTGGTTGCTGCAAACACGGTACGAGAATCGGGTGATTCCCACCTCACAAGATCACTCCAAGTCGTGTAAGAACCACATACCCAGCTGGTGGAGTCTGCCGACACCAAGGTGCCGCGGGCAGCTGAGCTGGCCTGGCCGCGCTGGTTGTCACTGGTCACCTGCGGCGAAGAGCATGGTGGTATTGCTACACGGGGGTACGCAGGACCCTGGAAGATGCTTACGAAGCACGCCCCGCCGGTGGTCGGGAGCGGCTGCGTCAGCAGGCCGACCTGCAGGGTCGCTCCGGAGGTCCTGGCCGCTGGTTGCTGCAAACGCGGTACGAGAATCCTCGTTTTGCAGAAATATGGGTTCGAGAATAAATGGATTTGTCGCCCTTTCTCTCTTCATGCTGGTCGAGCGGAGAGGGACGAAGGCTTCTTTGTATTTACCTCGGGGTGAAAGATAATCCTCAAGGGGGACAAAAGTGGTTTTGGGGGAGCTCTATCTAAGTCACTGCGACACAATAAGCCAACGGGACGCAGCGGACGTGCCTGCGGCCAGGGAACTCTCGTCTTTTAGCCGTGCACTCTCGAACCACTAATTTTGCAAATGGTCCACTGGGTGTTGCCCACCTCACGAGATCACTCCAAGCCATGTAAGAACCATGACAGATACTTGGCTGGTGAGGCTGTCATAACATTACAAGGCAGCTGAGAGTGATGAATAATAATAATAATAATAATAATAATATCTTTATTCAACCCTGGAGGGTTGCGGCACCACAGAAAGGCCATTGGCCCATACCTGAGGCCTGTGGTGCCGCGCTACTACATATTGTGAAAAAAGAAACAAATAAATAAATAAATATGATAATGCCTCATGCATTAACTTAATAGAAGCAACAGAATATGAGTTATTGGGTTTTGACTTACATTCCATGAGGCGGGGTTTTGTGCTGTGTCAGGCTGCAACACTGAATGATGGTGTCTCATGCACTCTTGCACAAGGACCACTCCGATTTAAAAAAAAGGTCTCTGACATGGAACGGAGATGTCAACAGCCTACCAAGTCCACATTATTATAGGTCACCTGTGCCTCTTTCAAATCATATCAGTAAAAACATCTTAACACAAGATAAATTATTGCTTTTAATTCACTCTCATAATCTAGGTAAATACCAAAAGAACAAAAATCTCACTTATCCTCGTTACACACACTCACTTGACTTTCAGAATGCAGAAACAAGCTCGGAACAGCTGTGGCTTTTAGCCTCCTCCAGCCGTCAGGGCACCTCGTCTGGAACTGGGAGGGCTCGAAGTGGTCCTGCAGCGAATAACGTTTTGGTAGACGTCAAAACTGTGTATTCAGCCGCTCGCGTCACAGTACAGTTATTCCGCTGACGAGAGGCTCACGCTTTCAAAATACGCGATCTTACAAATCCATCATCGCACGACGCCATTGGCCTGAACCACTCGTCTTTCTGCGCTGAAGCGAAAGCGCACAGGACGCTTCCACGGCAGTAGAGAATAGATCACAAAATACACGGTTTTGTTTGTCACAGTGCACTCGCGTCCACCGTGCTCGCGTCACAATATTAACAATGAACAATACCTCACCTCGCAAAGGTACGTTCTGTCGGGAGGTTTCCACCCCGCGCCACGCTTGATTCCTGAAAGCCACAGTTTCCGTCTCCTCGGGGATTTCGGCAGCTTGAACAAGCGAATTCCCCTGGATGCTCTGTTCCGGCACTTCAGAGCACAACAACGACCCATTTTTCAAACAAGACCGGAACGGCGGAACTCCCGCGGCTACAAAAACTTTTGTTTACGTTATTTCAACGCACGTGTCCGCGTGCGCATTCGTTTATTCTACCATTAAAGAAGGCTATGACGAAAAGCTCACATGCACCAAGTTTTCAGTCACCGAGCGTTAACTTTTTTAACTCTAGCGACGCTAAAATGAAATTACCGAACCCTGCTTTACTTTTGAGGCTCACGACCACCGCTAGGGAAGGTTTTGCGGCTTGTGATTGGCCACGAGCGGCCTGTCAATCAACTATTCGACCAATAGATTTTCGCCCCATTGATACCAATGAATGGCCAAACTCTCCCAATATACGGCTCTGCGGTAAACGAGCCAACGACCCCCCACACCGCTCTATCTTCGCCATCTCCGCGACGACCGGAAGTGGAAGCCGCGAAGTTAGAAAAGCTGCGGCAGCGGAAGCCACTGGGCGGAAGCTTTAAGTTTCGGTTTCGCTTTTCTCCAACGCAGGCTACGGTCGCTACGGTTTCGGGCTGGTGGGTTTGTCGGGTTTGTGGCTGGTTGGGACGACGCGAGGGGCCACGAAAAGACGCCAAGTTGGCCGAGTACGAGTCACGGCCCACGATACGAGCAACGGGCCGTTTGCCGCTGTCTACCGGCGATGCGGTATCCGCGGCTTGGTGTCACGATCGGTTTGTTGCCATACATGTTGACTCAAGGCTCGAAGTTATGCAGTTCCGTTCCGGCACCAGCCGCACCACGTTTTCCGGTGCATCGCACGTGGAGGTCTTTCGACGCATTCAGTGAACGTAAAGATCGTGCCCGCTGTCTTCGGTGCTGTGGAAGAAGTTGGGAGACGGAAGGCGTTTAGGACTCCAGGCCGGGCCCCCGGTTCACCCTGAACGAGAGGCGACGTATGTGTGCACGCTTTGAGGAAGCCTCCGCGTTTCGCCGCGCCAGACCTCGCCGATCGCGACCGGACCAACCGGACCCCGAGTCCGAGAGGCTTTTGCGGAGCCAGGAACTGCACCGAGGTAGGAGCTGCTCGTTCTGCGCTACCATGCAGTGCTCTACAGTGGTCGGAGCTCTCGGTGTCATTTGTGCTTGCACCGAAGCCTTCGTGACTAGGGATGTCGCGAACCACCCCAAGTTCGATTTCGAAAGGTTTCGATATTTGCGAAGCGAGCTAAGGTTCGATTTCGAAAAATTTCGATATTTTCGTACCAACCGAGGTTCGAATTCGAAAATTTCGAAACTTTCGATCACAGTGGAGTTTCGAATTCGAAAAGTTCGAAGCTTTCACGGTCTCTAAAAATTCGGATTCGAATATTTCGAATATTTTTTTACTTCAGGTTCGATAAATTCGAAGATTTCGAAATTCTTTGGAAATAAAATTCGAAAACTTCGAACGCTTCGAATTTTTATAGACATGAAGTTCAAAGATATCGAAGATTTCGAATTTCTTTCTGTATAAAGTTCGAAAAGTTCGAATGTTTCGATTCTCTTTTAAAGCTAAATTCAAAAAAAAAAAAAAAAACGGATTTTGAATTCCTTTCTAGTCCAAGTTTTCAAAGTTCGAAGTCCGGTTTTCAAATTCCTCCACAGTTTCAGTTTCAAATAACGTTTTCACGACTCACTGGTTTTCACAAAATCAAGTTTAGAAAAGTTAAGGTGTGATATCTAGATTCTGCGAAGTTGGTCAGGCAATTAAATGAGACGACGAGTGTCCCGGATGTGCTGGAATATTTGCCAGTGCAGAGTGACGTGTGACCATAGATCAGTAATTGTGACCGCCAGCCCGGGGGGGGGGGGGGGGTCTTTAACCTGCATCACGCAGTAGTGATCACACGAACACACTGTTTTACGAGACTCATCCAGTTCAAAATGGCCAGGGGCGGGCATAAGGTTGAGGCTCAGAAAAACCTTGAAGCGACCTGGCAAACTACCTCGCCACCCCTTGCACGCTGGTAGTAATCCGATCGAACGCCGCCCGAGTGGCGCTGGCATATAGTAAGTTAAGTTTGTAATTGTCCTGCAGGTTTATTTTCTGGGACGGAGGAATCGCCTCGCAAAAAGCCGACACAACTCGAGGTCGAGGAGCGTTCTACCATACCAGTGGCGTCGGAAGTGGGAAAACGGGGGGCAAAGAGGGTAGTGGGAGGAAGAAGGGGGAAGGCGGGGCTTCAGCTTCCTTCTCCCGCTTCCAGATATTTCGGACTGTTAAAGAAAACAATAGGGGAAAGAGGGCGTGGTGGAGCTTATTTTAATCTGAAATTATTTATGCATATATATAGCTACTGTCGCTCTTCACTGCATAAAAGATTGCGTAGATGGTCATTGTTAGAAACTCGCTGTCAGAAGCCACTACTCGTCACATGCTTAGTGGTTCGGAAGTTCAAAGCTATGTCTTTTCGACCTAAATACCTGTGCCAATAACAAAAAAAAAAAAAAAATGCGGGGATAAAAAGCTGGAGAAAAAAAAACTATCAAGAATTCGCCGGAAGTGTAGTATTCTTGCATATTCAGAGGTTCAGAACTTCGAAACAAGTTTTTTTTTTTTTTTTTTTTTTTACCAAAATGTGTACAGGCAAAAAGAAACACGTCCCAGGAACGTGAAGCGAAAAACAAATGTTTTCTTTTAATGACGTGCTGAACTTGAACACTATCAGAAATCTTCTCCCATGAGTTAATTTATTCCTTAACATGAAAAAAACAATAAACACATTATTTTGTATTCTGCAGATGGCAATGATATGTACTGTCTG